ACAAAATAATCGCAGCAAAATAATTATGGGTAATAAATACAACAAGTTGATAAGTGATAAGTTTACAATTGAGAATATTTTTCAATTTTTAATCAAAATTAGACCCAATGGCGGAGCAGCAAAATCAAAAATAATAAACGATATAAGATTATTCATTTTTCCCAATATAACGTAATATTTTCCCAATTGTAACAAAATAACAAAAAAAAAAATCCAACGCACAAAGAGACTTTCTATTAAAATTACCAAAAAATTGAAAAAAAAAACATTTGAAAAAAATATCCTGTTTTCTATAGCCCTCCCCACCGGCGTATATTTTCTGTCGAATATAATAACCAAAACAAAAAATAATAACAACAAAAGCAAATGTTATAAAAGAATACAGAAAATAACTTTATATTTCAAATATCATCATCCTATCATCATTCAAAAAAGAAAATTGTAAAAGGATAATATAAAATACAAGTTAAATAACAAAAGAAAAAAAAATATAGAAAATAGAATATAGAAGGATATAGATGAGGTTATGGAAACAACACAAATAATTGAACATGATTTGAATTTTAACGAGCTTAAAATTTTTGAAAACTTTTATAATAATAAAGTATAAGTAATGTGCGGATACACAAAAATATGGGAAATATCACCATCATTCGAGAGAAGAGAAATTTGATTTTGTTATAAAACCAAAATTGAGTTCTCAGACTGAACGTAATATCGTAAAATACTATCAGAATTTTAAGATACGTTCAACCTTAATTTATTAAATGCAAAATTTTTATTTACGTACACAATTCACAGTATAAAAGACTAAGAAAATATATCTAAGGTTTCCAGTTTCCACTTTAACACTTTCCCTCTTATTTTAAAAGAACAAATGAAAAAATTCCTTGATTAAGGAAAAGCAACTTATAAAATTCCCAATTTCACTTCATCTGGAAGTGTTCGACTCAACCGAATCAAATTTTTTTACACTTGCAAGTTACGTATGATAGGAATACATGACACTCAGTAATTTTTTACGTATGTGGAAGGAAAATATAAGATAATAGAATACAAGGCCTACTTAATAATTTAGTAACTTTAATAATCTAAACGAAAAACCCCTTCTCACTAAATCCGCATTTGTATTGAATTCCAAAAATCGAACAAAAAATGATTTTATCTTGAAAATTCTTAATCATCTATAGAGTTACACTTTAAAAAAATATATTATGCCTATAAGAATGGAATCAGAATCACATTTTTGAATTGAAATCCAAATAGTATATAAAAGGAGATTTCTAACAGTTTTGTTATTAGAAATTTTTGAATATATTGGAACTATATTTAAAGAATTTCAATCATATTTTGAAATTTTCTGTCTTTTGGCTATCTACTTGGCTATATGTACATTTAGATTAAACAGAAACTAAATAAAAAATTGAACATTTATCTGCATATTTTTCCTTATTTTTTTTTTTTTTGGTTTATATTTTTTGATAAATAATTTGAAATTGAAATTAGTACTCATAACCTGAAAACTTTATGATTTCACCTAAAATTCACTTGTATTGCATATGTATATTATTTTGAAAAGCCTTTAAGAGTTTATTTTTCGATTTTTGATTACACAATTATCATTACAGGTTTCAATTTAAAACACACCTTTGATTAAAAAATTTTCCTCATATTAATAGTTTTTCAAAATTCATAAGCATGAGAATAGTTTCATTTACATGTATAGGCACATTTGAATACAAATTCAATTGAAATATGAATATAATGAAAATAAAAATAAGAAGGATTTTAAATAAAGCCAAATAGAATCAATGGCTTGTAAAGTAATACATTTCCAAGTGAAAACATTTTTGTGAAAAAAAAAAATTATGTTTAATTAAAAATATTCTTACATTGCTTTTAATATATATTATTAAAACCAATGTATACATAAATATTGCATACGCGTAAGGTTAGAAAAAAATTAAGAGCCATCGGAATAAATTCGTGGAGTTGCGCCGTTAAAGTTTTAAGGAAATAAGTTGTCGAAAATTGAAATTTCATTAATTTTGAGGTTTAATGAACCAGAAGTCGCATAAAATTGAAAAAAATTTCGTTCTTACAAAATTCATTCTTATTCCAGATCCTAATAGAACCCGCTTATTTTACAGTAGAGGAAGCAAGTTGTTATTTTTCTACATTTTGAATATGAAGCTGTTTGACACAATAGCAACATAGCATTTTTCGGACTAAAGTGGTATTACAACATTTGGAATGACATATGTTAATGCACGTACGGTATATAAAATTTTTTACCAGAGAAAAAGATTTCTTAGTAACATTCATTTGTGGAAACAGCTTTTGTAAGCAGTCGCACTCACAAACGGACACAGTAAATTGGGTTTTTTTCAATTTTCTTGAAAATAAGCTAAAAACTAAATGATTTCCAAGAAATAAAAAAATTCACCATGTTTTCCCTTTTGTTTTTTTTTTCATTATAAAATGTTACAAAATTTTATCTGACCTGAATAAGATTTTCATTTAATATTAAAATTGAATAATTTAGAAAAATGAATTTTTTAAATTTCGAATATAAAATGTTTTCTCTCCCCGTAGTCTTAATTAACTCTACCGTGAAATTGAAATATGCTCGATAAATTCAATATTATTCAATTTGTGTTAAACTTTTATTAATTTTTTATAATATAGAATATGATTTTTTTTTTTACATAATTGAATATTGGAAAATATTTTTAAGGTTCTTGATTACGTTTTGAAATTTTAAATTTTGATTTAAAATTCAATATTGAATAAATATTATTAATTTGCGGTCATAAATAAGCACTTAAGCAAATTTTAGTGATTGAGAAAAATTTAATTAAAAAGAGGCAGTAGTTCTGAACGTAGTTTGAGGCATTTCTAAAATTGAGTTTTTTTCCAATTTCTCAAATTTGAAAATTATTGAATTATATTAATGATTGTTTACCAGTTGTATAATAATGATTCGAGTTGACCAACGTTGCAGTGATTATTGCACTGTTCCTTTAACTGAAGGATCTCGGATTGAAGGGGAAATACGATAAAAAAAATTGTTGCATACTCTATAGGCACTATTAGTTTTAAAATTATCATAATTTTACGAAAACCATTTAGAGATCGTCAACAAAATTTTCCAGTGAGCGGTTTTCATATTTTTTTAAAGAAAATTTCATTCCGATCAAAAATTTTAAAATAAAATTTTCTTAAATTTGTTTTGCCTTTATTACATATCACAAGCAGGGTCAATCAGCATTGTGGTATTATTTTTCTTAAGGCAGAACGTAGCACATTTTTATGAAAAAAAAAACTATCCTGGAGCAGAAGGAGGTTGACCGGCCGCTAATAAATATTTAACCCCCAAAATCCCAGTTGAAAATATTTTGGTTTCGACAAAGAGGCGTATTGACTTAAATAATTGAAGCTATATCCATAATTATTAAGCGATTTAAAAAAAAAATATATATAGAAGGGAAAGTAATTTACATTGCATATTATTTTAAGAATTTATCCAATGAAAAAGAAAAGAAAATATTAAAATTTTCACAAAGTGCCCAATTACTAAATAATTTACCCTATTCAATTTTTATTTTCTCCACAATTTGAAATATTCTGAGTTGATCTTCAAAATTCCTTCTGACAATTTTTTCTATGCGATGCTCCGTTTTCGAGATAATGCGGTTGTCAACTGGACGGTTTATTGAAATTATTATTATTTTACTCTAGTTAAAAATTACATAAGCTAAATCAAAATTCTTTTTTAACTTTAAAATTATTTAATTTTTAAATCTGAAATTCAAGAAATTCTTTAAATTTTATTCTTTCAATATTCTATTTAAATTTATGAAAAATTGCCAATTCAATTTCAATTCTTTCAGCATACCTTAATGTCCACTTTAAATATTATGTACCTAACCAAAAAATTTTCAAACTTAATAAAATCCTTGCATATATTTAGGCTGTAATACAATTAAATTATACAATAAAAAATATTCAAGCATTTTATAAAGTTTTTACCGACCGTATTGTGTAAACAATAGGTAGGTTATGTGATGGCAACAAATTTTGCATATCGAGTTTTCGGTGGGAACGTACTTCTCCATAGTAGGGAAGTGTAAATAAACTATTTTTAGTAACCTGCCGGTCTGTCGGTCTGTCGGTCTGTGTGTGCACGCGTGTATCTCTAGTTCGGCTGAACCGATTTTGATGAAATTTTATATGTAAGTTTGTTTCCACCATGGCACGGATCGATCAACTTTTGGTATATATCAGGCCTTGGGAACTGCACTTTTTAGCGGGCCTGTTTCACATTTTTGAACATTTTGAAGAAAATATTCAACCGATTTACTTGAAATTTTATATATAAGTTCAGCTCGACCGTCCGCAAAAATTCGTATGTTTTGGAAGAAATCAGGCATCGGCAACTAGACGTTTACTACGGGCCAAATATACATTTTTGTGTATATAAAGAGAAATAATCAACCGATTTCATTTAAATTTAATATATGAACTCCTCGTATTAAAACAATGAACATATAAATTTTTTGGAAAGATCAGGGCTCGAAAACTGATCTGCGGGCCTATTTTACATTTTTCACCATATCTACGGAACTAATTGATAGAATTTCTTGAAATTTGATATTTGAGTTCTGGTTGTTACCGAAACTAACTGACGAGCATTTCAGGGAATTTGGGTGGCATAAAGCGAAACTCTACTAAGAACCAAATTTACATTTTTCTAGGTATGTTAACTACGAGTATAAGCTTATTAATGCCCTAAAAATTGGAAAGAGGTAATTAACAGGCATTTTTATAATATTCTGTAACACTTTCATTTAACTAGACAATACACAATGCGGTCGGTTATGTGCTGACCACATCAGATTTTTTTTTTTTAATAATAAATCTTGATTTATTTTTTTATTTTTTAATATTTTTTAATATTTTTATTATTTGTTTTTCAATTATATTCAAAATATACATTTATTGTTTTTTTTTTTTTTGTATATAAATCTTTAATATTTAAAAACAAAAAAAAAGTTTATAATACTTGCAAAGTACTTTATAAGCATTTTTATTGTATTTTTTATTTTTTTTTAACAAAAAACAATTTTTTTTCTTTACTCTGCACTAAAACTAATTCAACAAAAAAAAAAATAAAGAAACAAAAATACTCGAGAGAAGAGAAAAACAAAAACAGAATAACAACCTTAGTAGAATTCCAAAACAAAAGAAAAGAACGAGAAAGAGATAGACAAGGAAGGAATGACTGAATGCGAGTAAATGAATGAATGAAATGAGTGAAAAAAAAATTGGGAGAGGAAAAAAAGTCATGCTAAAAATTCACAAATTTTATTTCATTTGATGTCCTTTTAAAAAACAAAAAAAAAATAATAATAAAAATATCCTTTCCATTTTTTCCCATTCATTCATTTCGTGTAGGTACGTATCGTACACCTTAGATCAAAAATATCCTAAATCACATATGAAAATATTTTCAGAAGAATTATTAAAAGTTTTGTAAATTTGTCTCTTTTAAGGTTTTAAAATTTTAATAACTTATAGTTGACAGAAACTTTTTGATTTTCTAAACTAAATTATTCAAAACTATCTCTTAATGCTTAAAAATCATAATTGCGTCCAGTGAATTGCTTACGAATCGGATTTAAATACCAGTTTTGTTTCCAAGAATATTGGACGCATTAGAGCAGAATTCTTACCAATAATTTTCGAAATTTTGTACTCAACAATTTTAATAAGCAAAAACAGCTCTAATGAAAGCTATGCTTTCATATCATAGCAGCAAAAATAACATTGAAATCTAATGATTTAAAAATAACTGAGTTCTTCTCTTAAAAATGGATTTAGGACAGTTTTGGATCTAAGGCGAACATATGATTTACTAAAAAATTCTTAAAAATCTATTATTTTTCTTTTATCTTCTTTCTCTTTCTCTCTTATTTAAATTACTTAATATTTTGGGTTTTTATTATTATTTAAATTTTTTTTTTTTTTTTGAAACTCTTAAAAATATTTTTCATTTTTAAATGTCTTTTTTTTTTTGTTTTTGTATTTTTATTTAACAATTTTTATTTCATGGTCTAAAGGATTAAATTTTTTCTTCATTTTCGTGTTTTTTTTTTTTTTTGTGGGTTTTTTTTTTTTGGTCCTTTTTATATTATTCTTTCCTGAATTAAATGTGTACATATTCTTCAAATTTTATTGTATATGAAGTTGCATAATATTATTTAGCGGGTACAACACATTGCTGGCAGTCATCCATATCTGGTGTTACTTCTTCAATTTGAATTGTTGTCTCAAAGAAATTATATTTTTGATGCACTGCAGTATTTGCTTCTTGTAGAATTTTAGCTGGATGACAACCAGGTTCTACAAAAAAAAAAATAATAATAATAAAAAATTTTTAAAAATGTTTGTACGTATTTACATAAAAACTAATAAATTATAAAATTTTTGTTTTTTCTTTTGGTTTTCTATGGTAAAAGTTAAAACCTCTATTATATTCTATTCTAGTATTTTAGAACAAAACCAAAAAAAAACAAATAGAAGAGAAACGAAAACAAAGTTTATTTATTTTAAAAAGATTTACTTAAAATTTATTCTAGTTCTTTATTTACGAAAAAAACAAAGAGTATTGAGAGCAAAAATCATGACTCTCTTATGGTATTTTCATTCTTCTTCATATTATACGTCGAGTATTTTATTTTGTTGACAAAGATTTTATATACATAGATAGTTTAAAGAATAGTGAGTATTTAAAAAATTTTTAGTATTACTTCATCATTTTCAACTTAAATTCCATTGAGGATTTAGCAGGGACTTTTAATTATTACACAAATTGTTTTGCATAAGGTGCAAAATAATTTCAGTAATTCAAAGAAAGAATAGTTCTTTGATGACTTTCCAACAAGAATTTGTGTTGGTAGAGGGAGGGCAGGGAAGAATGCAGATATACTCGTTTTCGAGTTACAACCTGTTGAAAGAAAAGGTACCAGATTTTTCCTGCTTCTGCTTCATTAATCATGATGGTTCTGAAATTCTTACAAATTTCGGAACCATCATGATTAATGAATTGTACCTGGTTTAATTGCCACCTTATACGAAACACCCTGCAGAAATCATATGTGGGAATAACTAAGTTGATTACTCTTGTAAATTTTTTTCATAAAATTGTTTTAATTTTAAGATCTGTTCAAATTTTATTATTTTTTTTTTTAAAAGAATTTAAAAATTTCAAAAAATATGATTTGAAACTATCATTTATATTTGCGAGTATGTTAAAAATGGACGAGCATTCAGACATCTATGATATCTGAATACTCGCCCATTTTTCACAAAAAATTCAACTTAGTCTTTAATTTCTTTAAATGAAATCATTTCAAATATAAGATTTCCAACTCTATTTGCAAGCAAATAAATGGACACATATAATATTATTTTCAAAATTTAACATTCTTTTAATTAAAAGAAAGAAACTATCAACGCACCATAATGCAAGGACATTTTAAAATTTCCTTTTTTTTTCAATTATTAAGTTCAGATTACGATTATTATTTATTGCTAAAAAAGAAATAATATCTTTATTTGTATGCATATTTATATATTAAACGATAAGTAAAACTTCAAGTGAAATCGGAGAAATTAGAAAGAAATTTTTTCCTCTTAATTATACTTGAATAAAATAAATCCTTACTCCTTGTTTCTAGTCCTCTGAATTCCCTCCCTCCTATATTGCAGTTTATTCAAAATAAATCAAATTCGAATTAAGTTATAAGTTGTTTATAAAGAAATAGAGTCAAAATTATAAAAAAATCAAAAAAAAAAATAATAATAATTTAATTAAAAAGGAAAATGAAATAAATAAAGAATACTATGAAAATTTGAAAATAGAAAGTTCAAAAGGATATTTGAATGTGCATAAAAAAAAATATTGTGTATTGTGTTATTAATTATCCTTAACTTAAAAATATTGTTTTCTCCTTTGTCTATCTATAATATTTCTTCATTTATATTATTTTCTGTACTTCTTTAAGTTTTATATACAGTGAACTCAAATTAATGAAACATTTATACCGTAAAACATAAGAATCTAGAAAATGTACAATAAAATTAAGTTAATAAATGAAAAATTCCAGAAGGTATAGGCCTATCGAGCCTCTAATGTATATAAGGCTCCTATTTTTTGAAAATTACCCACAGATTATCAGATTACCCACAGGCAGCCTCAGGTGCGTGTGCTTCCTCCGAAAAGGGTTTCTTCCTTGTGATGCATGATGTACATCCTCTACCACCTCGATGGCTTAGGCATCCCCGGAAAATATTCGGTCAGGAAATGTTCACCCTTCTAGCCATCTTTCTCAATAAATTTTTTTCTCGAAAAAATACCAGCCGCAATACTAAGATCCCCCTGGTCAATATCAGTAGCTCTTTCGTTGCACCATTCACCTCTTCGGCTACAGGGCCCTTGTACAAGTAAAAGTCCGCCCGCAAAACCAAAGCAAGCTTCCGCTCCTTCTAGTTTCCTCATTTATAATGCTCTTCAGCTTCCTCTAGAGCAGAGGCAGTGAACAGTCCATTACCGCAAAGTCGGCCACCGCACCAAATATAGCCAGGTCGTCAGCACTTTCGTTCCCTTTGACATTACTTTGTACGCAACCCAGCATAAGGTTACCCTAAATAGCTCACATAATACTCTCAATCTCATCTTTTCAGTTCCAGATAAAAATTTAATTCAATATAAAGCTATTTCTCCATCAGTCCTAACAGAGTTCCTATATTATAAATTAATTTCAAGTGATTACTGTTAGAGGTAACTCTTATGATTTTATATGTACATATACAAAAGTATACTATTTTCTGCAAATTTGAAAATTATAGTCTAATTCGAAAAAACTATACTGATTACTGACGTCTAACCAAGTGTTTGAAATATTTCTAGTGAAATAAGATAGAAGAAAGGTATTGTTTTATTATAGTTGTACTATATTTGATAGTATCATCAACAATATCATTTTAATTAAGAATTTTCTGAAAAAAAAGTGAAAGGATATTATACATCAAGATTTGAAAAATTTATAAAAAAAAAGAAAATATTTTTTCCTGTAAATTTTATTAAGAATAATACTGAATCATATAAGAAAATTGAGAGAAAGAAAAAAGCAATCAAGGATCTTATAAAAATTTCCTTTTTTAATAAATCTCAAATTTTACCAAAACATAGAAAAAAATCTAAAAAATATTTAAAATTGCAAAAATTTTTAATAAAATTAAAATTTACTTTACATCTTCAGTTGTGATAGAAAAATTATTTGAAACTTTTATAGTAGCCCGAAAATATTTTAAAAGTAATTAAAAATATTTGAAGAAAAATAATTTTTTCTTAACCCTCTTCGGACCTGCAATGATTCAAACATACTATATAATTACGAATGTTCAATAATGTTTTAGGTACATATTGCGATTGCAAAACAACTTGGATTATTCAGTATAGGAGCTTTTAAAACACTCAAGATATCAGCCTCAAGCATCAGCTACGGTTTTACGTAACACCAAATTTCAATCGATGAATAAATTTTTTTTTTCAAAATTTCTAAACGAGACGTTCCTATCTCTTTCATTTATTTAATAAAAATTCGAAATTTTAATATTCCATATACTAAAATAAGAGCATATAGATTGCAATATTTTGAATTCTTTTAACAATTATGTGTTTTTGATAAAATTTGTCTCAATTAGACATTGATTGTATCATAAGGACAATGATTAATTTTGCTTTTTTGAAAATATTTTTTTCATATTCCTAATATTTAACATTATCCTTTTTATCTATATAAACAAATAATATTAAATCCTTTTTAAATATTTTTTATTTTCTTAAAAAATTAAGATTTGGTAAAAAGATTTTTATATGCTTATAATGTATGTATATGCATATATGAAAGGATGAATATGTCTAAATGGTTTTGTTATTGTTACTTTAATACGATCATCACTCAAGAATAATTAATGTGATTTCGGTTATTAGTACATTTTTCTAATTTTATTGCTACTTGCATATACATACATATATTCATTCAAGTATATTAACCCTCAAAATATAATTTCAATATAAATATTCTTCTATGGTATGAATTCCAATTATAACACTGAAGAAGTTTTAGAATATTACAAAATTGTTTAAAGAATATTGCAATTTACATAGCTCTCGCACAATTAATTAACACTCATATTTTACTCTACACTGTACACTCATACTTTAGAATTTATAAAAAGAGTTTTCGAATTTTCAATGCTATTAAAACTTAGTTAATCCTAAAGGAACCCAATAGAAATTTTAACAGAAATATAGAAATCAGGGCAAATTTAAGAAAATTCGTTGCGCAGGATAATAGTGTTGTAGTTCCTGTTAATTTGATGATACAATTAAAATTTTCTTTACGTTTATGAAAAAGTATAAGAAAATTATATTTACAGGAAACTGTAGACTTTCTAAAATGAGGATTAAAAGAAATTTGAGAAAAATTTATGAAATATTAAGAAAATCCTTACAAAAAATTAAAATATTTGAATTTTTCTTATTTTAATAACAAAAATACGTAAATTATTAAAAATTCTAATTAATTCTTAGAACTATGAATGTTTTACCATTTTGCATTCCTTAAATATTCACCATAGTCCATAGTTAACAGGATCAACAGCATTTATCTAATTTTTTTTCTTTTTTATACAATTTCAATTCAGTATCGAATTCTTCTCTCTTATCATACTTAATATTATCCATAAAATCTACATATACTACAGTATACATTATAAATACACACATGTATAACAATATAATACACAATATTTAAATTGTTATACTTAAAAGTTGATTGGTTAATTTTAACAAGACTAGGTTATCTTGGAAAATTTATTTTCACTTTATTCCTTTTCATCCTATCTAACAAAAAATCTAACAAAATGTCTTTTTGTTTTCAGCCTTTTTGGTTTTGGTTTTTCGATATAATAAGAAAATTTTAGAATAAAAACAAAATTTGTTTAAGAAAGAAATCCAAAAAAAAAAAATAAAATATCCTTGATAAAGGCAACAAAAATAAGGGTGTTAATGGAGTATTTTCTGATTGATGAAAAATCTAGACATTTTTCATTGAATAACAAAGAATTTTCAAAGCTATTTGAATTGATTTATATGTATATATTATGTATGTAGCAATTTATTGATTACTTAATCCGATATTGAATCAAACTAATAGATGATTGTGGTATACAATAAATTTTCAGAGGGAAAAAAAAATATTCAATGTCATTGAATTTTTTCTTTTCTCGGTTTTAGTTTATTAAATTTATCATGGCCATTAAACTCGATTTTTATTGAACTTGCTAAAATTTAATTCTAAAATGAAAAATGGGTTTACTTGTACGGCAATTCAACTTGAGCTTTTGTAAACGAATTGACGGCCAAGGTAAAGCGTAAAAGCATATTGTTTTTTAAACTATGTTTCACAGTCAATCCATAGCAAAATTTAAGAATATTCTGTTTATACTTGCAATTTTACATTATTCCCCTATGAATGCTAATAATCTAAAAATAATAAAAACTTCAACTTGGACTCTTCATTTTCATAACATTCTGTTAAAAATGTAAGTATGATTTTGAATTAAAAAAAATTTGACTAATCCTTTTTAATAAGAATGATAACGACCCTAAAATAATAAATAAAATACAATTTTTTTTCTTATATCTTTTGTTTTAATATAATTTTTTTTTAGAGTATCACTCACAGCATGGTAGCATAAGTAGCTTATTATCCTTTTCATATTCCTTTTTATATGCATTATTAATCAATGTCATAATGATGTCAAAACATAAGAATTTCTTTTCATTTTCTATTTTGACTTTTTAATTAAAAAAAAAAATAAATGAAAACTTTATTCTAGTTTATCCCTCTTTTTTTTCTATTACTGTAAATGTAATTTAATTTTAAATATGTATGTATTGTGTAAAATAATTAATAAACAAGAGGCAGGATAACTGATTATCATTCATTCTATATAGTGAAGAATTGTATAGAAAAGAAATGTAACAATAATTTTACAATTTAAAAAAAAAATTTAGTTGACCCAATGATTATCGTGCTATTAAACTGAAGTTACCATTAAACTTTTGTTATAAAACGTGATTTTAATTAAAATATTCTGAAGTGATTGTGAGAGAAGATGAATTGAAGCAATAGATCGAAGATGGTGATAATCAAAGTACTTATGCTATTTCTATCCTAAATTAAACATAGAAAAAGGTTCCTGCGGAAAAATGTATTTGATATTAATAGTTATATCGAATCAGATCTTTGGCATAATTTTTCTCTTCCATAAAGAATCGTAAAACCGTCACTTCTTTAAAGGATTTCATTTGAAATTTTACCACTTTGAGTTACCATAGCACAAAATAAGGAAAATTTCCATTTCTGGAAGCTCATTTTTTGGAAATTTTTATCAAATTTTTTATTAAAGCAATAACGTAACCGTAAGTTTCCTCTTCTTAAAAAATAAAATTATTTATTTTATACCTAATATACCATATTGGAGGCACAATTAAATTATTTTGTAAAAGCTGCTTAAATTTTTTGTGCCCCTAAATGTATGCAAAAAAATACATGATTTACATTAAGCTAGTTTTCAAATAAAAAATATTTTTAAACATTTTAAATTATTAAAGAGCAAATTGTAATATATTTTTTTACGACGTCAATACTATGTACGCTCCTTTGGACGCTTTGCTTTGCTTTGACCCGTCTTTATTCTAATATGCAATTAAAGTTTAAACAAATCTTCTCACATCACATTTGGTGTTTAACACATTCTTACAATAACATTTCTTAACATATTTTTACTCAGCTTTAACAATAATTCAGTAGTAATTGCCGAAATTATTCTAAAATCTTCAATAATTTCGGCATTACTACTGTAAAATTACATTTTTGTGTAATTGGAAATTTGCTTTTATTTCTCATATAAATCGAAATTAATTCATAATAGCTATAAAATTTCTTTTATTAAAATATATTTTTATTAATTAACGAAAACTTTATTCGCTACATGAATAATTTAAAATATTAAAATTTTCAAACTAAAAAAGAAAATACCTTGACCATATTTTTTGTCTCAATTCCCTATTTATCCTGCAAAAAAATTATAAAAATTTTCCATATTCTCTACTTAAAATTAACTGACATTTTTATAATTATAAATTAATCATATACAAATATTCATAAAAATATTGTGTTTTTATCCTGTTTCTAGCGATAACAAAGTGTGGGATTTCGAATTGAAATTACACAAGCATGAAAACAGAAAAAAAAAATTTTTAATGCATAAATTTTATTTTTTTCGTTGTTACTAGGACTTTTAATATTGTCCTGGACTGCACTTAATATAGACCACTACTTGGCAGTAATTAGTTAAATTAAAAAATTAATAAAAAAAAAACATATGCCAGTTATAATACTCGCAAAATTAAGAGAAAAAAAAAAGCTAGGCAAAATCTACAAAAATTGTATGAATTTTAAATAATAGAGGAGATTATGTATTTTTACTGATATTGTCCAAGAATTTCTTATGAAAAAAAAAGCAACCAAAGAAAAAATAGAAAAATAAATAAATAAATTATAAAAATAAACCAGAAACAATGAAAAACAAAAACAGGAAAAATATGAAAATGAAAAACTTTCCTACAATCCAAGTTTTTCTCTTTCATATTTTTCTTTTTTTTTTTATTTTGATTTTGTTGTGTTGGAAAATTTAATTAAAAAAATTTCTCACTGAAAATAAAAAACTGGGTTCATATTACTTTTCTCTGACTACAAATTCTAAACTGTCATACCATTACGTTCAACAAAATTATATACAGAACAGTACTAGTATGGCACAGCATATAATGTTTATAAAAATTCATATATCTTTTGAGGGTTGACTTTATTATTACTTGTGTAAGGAGGCAGGAAGAGAAAAATAAAAAAAAAAATTTTTTTTTTTTAAATAGGTTGATTAACTTTTTTTTCCACTCTTCCACTCTCTCTCAATCTTTCCCTCAACTCTAACTGTCATTTATTTATTTTCTACTTTATTTCTGCATCTCTCACACTCAAAGTACTCATTACCGTACTGAATTTCTGATTTGTACTTATTTTCTTTTCTTGTTGTTGTATTTTATGTTTTTATTCTATTTTTCTCATTTTACTTGCACAATAGTATTTTTATTATACACATTAATATTATTGTAACACTGTTTCTTTTAGTCAATACAATCTTTGTAAATTGAAATACCGATTCAATGTTTACAATATAGTGTTAGTACAATTGTATAGCATTATTATGAGATGTCAAAGTCAAAAAAGAGATTAGAACGAACATATTATTATTATTCTCTTATGTCATAAAATAATATCATGTTAATATTAATAATTATGTGAGATTTTAGTGCCATAGTAATGAGAAACTTGTTGTTTTAATTATATATGGTCAATTAATAAATAGGGATATTAAACAGGACATTTTTTTAAACGCCAATTAAATTTTTCCCAACTATGTATAATTCTTTGTAATTAAATAACAAAATATTATGATTAATGGTATTTTAAAATTAATAAGTTCGTCATTGCAATAACCATACGATTATTAGAATATTCAAGCAAAATTGTCATGAAAATACAAATAAGCAGTAACAGATGAAGTAAGTGCTTAATACATTTTAAATTGTGAAAACATTTCTTCTTTTAAAAATTGTGAGTATTTTTACAATAAAAATATTTGCCTTCCCGAACTGGCGTCTATAATTTTATTTTTAAATTTAATTTAAAAACACCCTCAAAAAATTCAAATATGCTTTAGGTCTAATGACGATTTGCAGCTCTAATTTAAAATTTACATTAATTGTAAAAAATATTATTCTGCTACGATATTTCATATAAAATTGTACTCTTAATTGCTCAAACACCATAAACTGGAACTACCGGCTGTTGATTAAGACTAGAGACCCACTATTGAAGTTATAGTTGTAACAAATAAATATTGATTTAAGAAAGACCTCAGTATAGGCTTATCTACTTATTTTAACAATACAATATTATAAAATATTTAAAATTCGCGTTGCATTTTTTGAAAAAGCAAACAAATTTACAAAGAGTCTCAAAATTGATTTCTTTAAAATTTTCAATAAATTGTTCAATATTGCAGCTACATTATATTGTAAGCAAATTTAAAGCGTCCAATGCAATACAAATTCTAAAGCAATTGATAATATTTTAAAATTCATTAAAAAAAGAAAAAAGCAGTGTTAAAAAACCAAGGTGATTATATGAAAAAAATTTCATTTAAAAATTTAAATTAAGAATTTGTAATACAAGAAGAAAACTTGAAACTACAGCAACAAAAGTCTATAAACAGAAAAATAATTAATTTTAACCCCAATATTTTTTGTTTTCTAAATTCATTTAATTAAAATTTAATAATTTGAATTAAAACTGTGAAATTTATATTTACAAGGAAAAAAAATCAAAATAATTTCCTAAAATAATTTCCCACAGCTTATAGTAGGGTTAGGGTTTGACATCATAAATACAAAAAACAAAAATTAAATTACTCTTGTAAACCCCTCTGTTTCCTTCTTTCATTTCACAATTACTTTCACATTTTTTCCCCTTTCTAAAAATCCTAGGGCAACTATTCGACTCTTTCATCTCCATTCTTTCATCTTGAATCTTTTTCCTTTCTCTTTCATTATTACATCTCTCTGAACTGAATACCAAAATATTATTTTTAAAAAATAATTTCATAAATTTTATATTATTTTGTTTCTTGTATGTCTCATTCCAAATGTACATATAAGCATAAAGATATAGACAGGACTTTTATATAGCATTGCTTATTTAAAATATTTATATATAAAAAAACAACCGCATCTATACGCGATAACATGAAAACAAGTGTAACATTACAAATTGCTTTAACAACTTTAATTTTATTTCTAATATCCAGAAAAGAAGAAACAGAAAAAATCAAAAATGTCATAATAAATACCAATTGCTCTCTATACACACTATGTACTTTCATTCAAATAGCAAATAATCCTCTTCTCTAATACCTCAATATTAAAATGCCTATGATACAATATTCTTATACCGATTCATGGAAGCTAAAAAAAATTTTTCATAACAATAGTAAATGAAAGTAATATAAAATCTTTATATTACATAAATTCTTAAACTATACATATTATATACATACGTATGTGCATATACAAATATACTTACTGATAGCTAAATGAACCGATACAGCTACTTTACTAACACTTAAAGCCCAAATTCTTAAATTATGTACACGTTCAACACCGTCAATTTTTTGAAAAATTTCTAATACTTCAGCATAATCGAGATAAGATGGTGTTCCTTCCATCAAGACCTTTATAAAAAAAAAAATAAGAATAAAAAAAAAACAGAAATATTAAAACGAATTATTATATAGTACACATAGCTACATACATACATGAAAATACAAAAAAAAAATTAGTTGGAAAAAAAAGCAAAATAAATAAAAATATAAAAAATGGAAGAAAAAAAAAATAATAAATAATTAATCAAATATATCCTTCCGCCTATGCCTAAAGGAGGTTCACATTATAAAATAGAAAAAGTGAAACCAAAAGCATAGAACAAAAAATTTATGAAAGTAAAAAAGGAATAAGGATTTTTTTTTTACTAAAGAAATAGAACAACACTAACAAAACAAAAATTACTAAATAACGATGAAGGATATAACGAATTTTGAGGATAAATAAATAAATAAAAAAAAAAATGAAGAAAAACAAAGAGAATAAAAAAAGCAAGTGACTTTTTTATGCGATACAAGATTGAGGCTGGTAAATAACATGAGACACAAACATAATAAACAAGGAAAAAGAAGAAAAATACAAAAAAGAAAACATAAACAGAAAAAAAACCGTTATGCTTAAAGAAATCAAAAGGAAGGCATAGCTTTGAATTGTAATCCTATTTTGTGTTTTTTTATTTTCGGGTTTTTTTCTCGGTGGCTTTTCGATGTGTTATGGTTTCAGATTTTTCTTTACCACTGGAATGACTTTCTATATACACACACACAGAGACGCGGTAAATGTTTTGATTCCTTATAAATATTTTTATTTGTGGCTATATGTGGCTAGATTCTTATATAATTATGTTGTAAATTTTTCCTAAAAATTTTTGAAAATTTTTTTTTCTAATTTTTTCTTTTATTATAAAAAGAAAGTTATAGACGATAACTAATTAAGAAATATTAAAGAAAAACAATCATAGGGCTGAAAAATTATTGGGAAAATTCCTAAAATTAAAATTTCTAATAAATTGTATTTCGAATTTTATATGACATTTGTTTCTGTACTGGAGAGAACAATATTTTGACACATAATATCTTTAATTTGTAGGATTTTTATTCACCTTACAAAATGTCATCCTTTGAATAGAAATAAATAATGTTACTACACCAGCGGAAGATTTAAAACAATATTATTAATTATTATCATATAAGAAGCATAAGAGTTAAGAAATTCTAATTTAGCCGTGAAAGCCCATAGAGGAAAGTTATTTTCTTAATAATAACTGTTTAAATATTATAGATAAGTATCGCTCTTATATCAAGACTAAATGGAAAGTATACACGGTTGTATATTTGGTTTTAAATATAATCAATTCCAAATTCTGGCATTGAAATTTAGATAAGACAAATTTTCATGTCTGATAAACAGTCGTCATGTAATTCATTAATTAAATACAATGAGTAATAATCATTGGGGCAATTATTATCAAACAAAAGACAAACTTGGGCTAACCTTAAACTATTTTAAAGTTAGCCCTATTTTTTTAAACGACTTTTTCAATAGGTTAATTTTGAATATTATAACATGAGCAAATCATACTTTTATTCAATAAAACTAAAGCTATATTTAAACCTACCAATAAAGCATCTTTTAAAATACTGATTGTTGTAAACAAAACAATTATTGAAAATAAAAGTGTACAAATTGGATCAGCAATTGCAAAATCTTCTCTAAAATATATTATTAGAGCAGCAATAAATACACCAACACTCTGTAAAATATCACCCAAAACATGAATAAATGCAGCCCTAACATTCATATTTTCTTGTTCCTGTTGTTCATCATTCATTTTATTTTCAACTTCTGGTCCAATATTTACTGAATATGTTTCATTTTGTTTTATTAAATGATCATCTGTTGATGATACTGTTGCTATTTGTGTAATTTCTGGTGGATTTGTAGCATTACCATTTGATGTAAGATCTTCATTACCAATAGCAGATTGTTGCGATTGTTTTTGTTTCTTTTTTGAATTTTTATTTTTAGATTTTGAATGAGAATGACCGTGTGAATGTCCACCGCCACCGCTGCTACTACCATGTGAATGACCATGGAAACCATGTAATTGTACGCCCATTCTGAAAATTCAAAAAAGAATTGAAAATTAATGGTTTCATTGAATAATTTCTTAATTAAAATGAATTTTTTTTTTCAAAAAAGATCGCAATTGTTGTAACCATTTGGGGGCTTTGGAATTTTTTAAATAAAACATTTTAAAAGAAAACAAATAAATTCTTAATTAAAATTATATATGAGAACTGAAATACGACCATTTGACAATACCAAATTGGGATGAACACATTTTCGAAAGCAGCAGAAACCCTACTAAACGGAAAATTTTTCTGCAAAATTCATCTTTTTGCATAAGAAACACTATTCTTGTGCAAAACTCTTCTGCCCCATTCAGTAACTTTAATATTTACGATAAAATATTTACGATTTACATGCTATTCTTTTGCAACTAAAAAAAAACTTTAAATAACAGAATATTTATTGTAAATCGAACAAATGGCCACCCCATCCTACGCACGCAGTATACTTTTTATGAATTTGTAACAATACTATCGCCCCTACACAAGAACTAACAATCTCTATTTAACTAATACATAAACCCTACACGACTACAACACAAATGACAGAAAAATCCTTATTATACATGAGATAAATATTTGCAAGTTGTCCAATATATGGCCGCAAAAAAACAGAATTCTATATACCGCGAGTTGTAAATTTCTTTACAAAAAAAAAAATTATATTTAAAAATTAATATTTATTATTGCAATTTTTTTTTACAGAATACCCAAAAAATGAGAAAGTAGGATAAAAAATTTATATAAAATATAAAAATAAACATTGAATAAATTTTGATTTTTTGATTTTCAACCGCACACAACAATTTTTTGACTGATTTTCCACATAAAATAAATTGTACCTATGCACACATAATATGAAACGCCTGACTGTTAAATGCAAAATCTATATTTACCTTTTAAAAAAAAAGAATAACAAAAACAAAACAGAAAAGCTATCTAAATAATGCTGATTTTAGAATATTGCATTTGGCACTAACATTGAAATTCTATCGCACTTTTTATAAAAGTGAAAAAAAAATGGAAACCTTGACAAAAAAAAATTAAAAGCTCACTGTTGCATTAATAAAAATTCTTTTAAATTTCTACTTCTAGCACATTTCCACCAAAAATTGTAGAAAAATATTCTTATTTATTTTTCTCTGTTCATCTATTCGTTTATATTATCCTTTGTTTACGGAAAATGTGCTCCCATTGAGGTAAAAAGATGAAATTTTATGTACAAATGAAATTTTTACCTAATTTTCTAGAAAAATTTTAATCTACCTCTTCTCCCTCTGAGAGTCTACCACTATGGCAAACAAAAATCCTGTCTGCCAAATGTCATTCCAAATATAAATGTTGATTTTCTGCTTCTTATTCAAAACCATAACTTTTTTTTATATTTCAATTAGCATGGATAAAAATGTTGAAATGATAAAAGAGTCGTTTAACGTAGCTGGTGCTTTTTTGTTTTTCACTTAGGCAGCGACCTACTAGAATCTGAAACCTATTTACTTTCAACTGTGAGGTAGTTTTTTCTACCACCCACCACTTTCAAATTGTTGTCTTTTCATAATTAGCAAAATTTCAATTTTAACTCCAGCTATATCCGAAACTGTATAAGTTTTCCTAATTTGTATAAATTTAAAAGGTTTTCCCCTAAATATATGCAATTTTCATTATAATTATTTTACTTTGTTAATAAGAATAAATTAAATAGCTATAATTGATTCTTATTTGAAGAGAATTATCATTTCTTTTCGGGGGAAATGTGCTACTTTACAAACCGCTATTTTAGTCCGAATTTATTTTGTTTATTTATTTATTTTACGCTTTCAGTAGTTTTCATTTTGATTTTCAATTTTGAAAATTTTGTTTTCCCGGAGAAAATTCTAATTTTTATTTTTTTTATTGTTCTCTTTCTTTTAATATTTTGAATATTTTTCATAAATTTAAATTTACATTTGCATTATATTTTTTTCTCTTTTTTGCTTTTTTATTTGCACATTTCAACAGTCGCCGTATTGTTTTCTTTATTATTATTATATTTCTCTATATATGCACTTTTAAACTGACGAGAAAGCAAACGAAAATGGAATTGAAAAACTAGAACGTTAAAATTATCAGAGTACACAAAATAAAAATAAATAAAAAAATAATACGGAAATAAGAAAAAAAAAAACGAAAAACAAAAACAAAAAAAAAACACACGGTAAAGGATAATGAGTTGATATTTAAGTCAAGGATATTTTTTTATAAGAATCCTTTATCCAGATTTGAAAAAAAAAATTCTATTTAATTTTTAAAATTCAAGAGAAAAAACCAAACACTGATCCATAATGGCATAAATAATTTTAAGTAAATGAAAACGTACACACTTACACACATGAAAATGATTTTAAAGGAGAAGCTCGATTACATTAAATTTTTTTTTAAGGATTTTCTATTTCAAACTTCGCAAATCTATTTAAATTTCATTAAATTTTAAGAAAATATCCTTGATACAACATTTAACGGTAATTCCCAATTTAAAACTATTATGTATTCGTTGGGGCTGTGCTCTTGCTTATCAAACAATGTTATCCTTAAATGAATGTTATCCTAGGAAATCTATTCATGTTCTTAAAGATGAATCACGGGAAGTTACGTTCTTCCTTAGATATAGCGATTTTTTAAGATTTAACAAAATAATAAATTCAATTTTGAAATTTAAAATTCAATTCTAACATAATTATTCGCTCATTTCAAGTAATTTGTTCTCTAAAAATAATTGGCGATAGGTTGAAGCTCTGGGGGACTGTATGAAATTCAAAAATTTACGATATACACAAATCATTTTTGTATAAGTTGGTTTTTGTTCGTAATAAGAATTTCTGATTTGCTTTGAATAACAATAAATGCATAAGAACTAGTTATATGACCTCTGAATTATTTTATGCGAAGTGGTCATATAACTGTCATATATAACAGTGGTTGAAGCTAACTGAATCGCTATTCTATAGTGTGAAAATCGAATTTTATAGGAGTAGAAACTAAATTAAAATTTATATTCATTTATACATAATTATGAAACCATCTACTGAAATAAAAGTGGTAACAGCTTAATATTTCATCTTCGCATGACTTTCTCATAGCAAATGATTTACTTAGGGACGTATAAGTTCAGAATGTATACTGTTGTACTCGGAAAAAGTTCCACGAAACAGTTATTATTTTAAATATTTCTACCAATTAAAATGAGTTTTTCGAGCCTTTTTGAAAAAAAAGCAAAATTCGTCTCAAATCTTTAAAATTAATTAACAAATTAATATAAATAACACTGCCTGGATTCTTTTCTTAATAACAAACTCAACATTTAATGCTATTTAAATCAAGTTTTGTACATCTATTTCAAAATTCTTCATTTTTATATCCCTTGTCCTTTTTTTTTTGTATAAATTTAACCTAAATCTAAACAATTTCCAATTTTATCTACTTTAATCAAAATAAAATCCGTATAAGGGAAATTATAAATAAACTACGATATGTGGATCATGAAAATATAGTGTACTCTCATCAATTTTGTCCATATATAAACAATAAATCCATTTTCTCTTACCTATATAATTATATGAGTAGTAAACTGATTGCAATGCAAATTTTAAATATATCCACATATATTTTAAGTATTTTAAAGGTATATTACATATTATAGCCAAGGAGTAATCCAGGAATAATATGTAGATAAAATATTATATACACACGTATTACATACATAAACAGATACACGCCATTATATTAAAATTCTCTGCTATAATTTTTACCTTCTTTTAGTCATCGTAATCGTATTGCAAATCAGTTAATACCACAATATTGTTAGAATATCCTGTCAATCATTTTGTGTACGTACGAGTTTTATAATCCCAGTTACTGCCATTTTTTTTTATAAAGCTCTATATATTTTCTTTTTTTGTTGTTTTTCTTTATTATTATGTCATCATTTTGGTTTTCCTGTATTTTAAACCAAAAACAGAATAATAATTCCGGAAGTGAATTAATAAAACACACAAGAGAAAGAAAAAAAAGAAGAAAAAATCAAAACAGAATTAAAATTAAAAGAGGACGCATACACGAGAAATTGAGAACATGAAATGAAACTGCATATTATATATAAAGATTTGAGAGAATATTATAAAAGGACAACATGAAAAAGGACATGGAAAACATTACAAATTTGCCTTTCTTCTTCCTCTGTTTTTTCTTTTCTTGTTGTTTTTTGTTTTTCTTATTATTTTAAACTAACAGTATTTTAATATTAATTTTTCTTTTTTAAATACACTGTGTTGTATACAAAGAATGATATGCAGCTTTATGATATGCAGCTGCATAAGTTTCGCACAATGAAACGCAAAATACATGAGGCAATATGCACATAAGCAGATATAACATGTATGTATGTATGTAAGTATGAGTTGTAAGTATGTGTGTACTAATAAATTTTATCGAATGAAATGGTTACTTAGCCAGTTGATTTTGTTTTTTCTTCTTTTGAGCCTGATGATCTAAAGTAGTATATCACCTACTCAATTAATGAAAGTTTTTAATATCATTTTAATATTCTGAAGCACATATCTGACGTATTCACGTATTTTCCGAGAGAGATATAGTCACAATATTAATAAATTTACTTAAATTATTCTAATGAAAGAACTGCACTAGCGGATAATAGACTTATATTAAATTGAAGAAAAGCGGTGAAGTTGTGTACCAATGCACAAGCCAAAAATTTGACCTTCCTTATAAAATCTGTTTTTAGAAAGTGATTTCGTCGAAAAATTTGTTATACAACCCGGCATACAAAAGGGAAAATGTATTAATAATTAACTTGCTAATGTCTTCTACGCAAGGTCTAAAATTTAATTTCAAGATCTAAGTCCTGAGGTTGCATGTATGCATGTATGTCAAAAATTAGACAGTTCATTACATCCACTAATAAAATTCAAATCGATTGAACAGAATTATAAAAC